GTAATGAAATGTGATTGAGAGGATGACAAAGATTGAAGGGAGGATGAATGCCAAGCAATTTGTAGAAATTCTTGAAAAAAACTTACTTCATAACATTGAAGAATCTAGCATTTTTAAAGAAGAGGTGATTTTTAAGTAAGATAATGACTACATGTCAGGGACATGAATTTCAAAAGAAGAGAATCCTTGATACACTCTTATGTCACTAAAGAGAACTAGAAAGTCACTCAAAAGGTAATGTAATATTAACTAAAATAGCTATTGCCAAAAACAAGAAGACTATAAAGACTTGAAACAAGACTAAAGACTAAAACGACATTAACAAGAGTGAAGAAGGCTTCACTTTTACCTCCTTATATACTTATAACTAGAAGCTACATGGCGATGTTGTATAGGACCTCCAAAACAAGTTGACTTTGCTAACCACATGTCTTAATTTACAAGACAAATTATGTATGTATGCTCCACATAGTTAGCTTGTTCCATAAGCTACCAATGCATGGATAGCTTGTTGGCCAAGTTTTTAACCTACAAACACATCTAAAGTCAAAATTGCATCTATGAAGCTTCTAGAAAGCTTCTTTAGAAGACTTTATGAAATTAATCTATATTTATCTATTTTTAACTAATCATATAAGTAACTATTAAGGTAAATGTATATGTCTGTGACACTCCAAGCATAACTCAAAACTAGCATGAAAGTGGTTTGATCATTATAGAATTAAAATAATGGATTAACTTGCTTAGTATCTTGATTTTAATTCCATTGAACATCTTTGGGAGCACTTCAAACGCTAGCTCAATACTTGGAAGATAAAACCAAAGGGAGTTTGGAAATTATAGAAAAGAATAGTTACAGAATAAAATAATATTAAAACAATTTTTTACCAAAAGTTAATAGAAAGTATGCCTAAGAGATTAAAAGCAATTATCAAGGCCAAAAAAGGCCCTATAAAGTATTGATATGTAATTGGATACCATATTCAAAAAAATATTTATAAATATTTATAAAAAAATATTACCAAAATATTTTGGTAATATTTTGTAATTATTTTTTGTAAATATTTTTTTATAAATGTTTTTTAATTTTTCTTTTGTAACACATGACAAATATAAAGTTCATGTTCTTCAATATTCTTTGAGTAGATTAAGATATCATTTAAATAATAAATAATATAGTCATTAAGAAAGTCATAGAAGACATCATTTATTAGATGTTGAAAAGAAATTGGTGCATTTGTGAGTCCAAATGGCATGATATTATATTCAAAATGTCCATATCTAGTTCAAAATATAATTTTTCATTGATTTCTTTTTTTAATGCAATTGTTCTATGATAAGTTGTAGATTGGTCCAAATGGCAATTGACCTCCTTCTTGAAGATCAATTGAACAATCATAGGAGTGATACTCTGAAAGAATGTGTAATATGTGACTAACTTGTACCACAAGTGGTGAATATGTATAACATGTGACCAACTTATTAATTAAGTTTTTAATTTACTAATTACCTATGTACACCTATATAATTAAATTTGCAACTTCATAAGATATTATATAAATTACATACTATTACTTACTTCTATCTAATTTTTCTTGTTTAAGTAATTATTAATATGAATTATGTCTATGATACTATAATAATTATAACAATTGTGACAAGTATGGTTGCTATTTAATTAAGTGTTGATTAATGTTCATAGTAAACAACTAGTTATCAAACGTCTACATAATATCTAATAGAAATTAATCATATATGTAAATATTTTTTTTAACAACAATGATTAAAATTTGTTAATATATAAGATTTTTTTTAAATAGTATTAAAAACATGTAAAAATTTGCAATAGTTGCAAATTTACTCTTGTTTCTATCAAGTATAGTATCTATAGTTTATTTATTTTTCTTTCAATAATACATAATTTTAACAAATTCACAAGTTAAATTAGAGAAAGATAATTTCAATCTCTTATATTAAATAAAAATTCCTACAAAGAAATATTCTACTTTCTTAAAGAAAATATCAACATTAGAAAATAAAGACATTATTTTAAGCATAGATGGTTCTTAATCTTTAAAAATACAAGAATTTTTGTGAAGTAGGATAATCTACTCACTTCATATACAAAAAAATTATAACAAGTTAGTATTCTTGTGAAATTGTCAAAGACACAAATTACAACAAAACTTTAGAAAATCAAGTATTTAACATAAATATATATATATATATATATATATATATATATATACACACACATATATTTATTTTTATTATACTTTTATTGATTAGATTATATATGTGTATATATATATATATATATATATATATTACATCTATAATAAAATATTCGATTATATATCTTTTTAACTATAAAAAAATAAAATATTAACTTATGATAGATACTATCATTTAATATTATGTTAAGAATTTTTTCGGAAAATACTAAAAGCAAACGATGTACAAAAAATATGGAAAAAATTAAAAAGATAGCATGAAAGCAATTAAATCTCCTAAAAATATGCAAAATAAAAAACTTGAATTAAAAAATATAAGATTTTAAAACTAAAATATAATTTAAAAGAATATCAAATTAAGTTCAATTATAAAAAGATGTATATTTTATAAATATATTTATTTTCTATAAAAAGAAATTATATTCTTAACATGTGGTATAAAAATTATTTATAGTTGAATACATGAATCTAGAGTAAGCATAAAAATCAGAACTCTTACTTATAAAAACATTACAATGGTACATTAAAATAATACTAAGTTTTTAAAAGGTTAAGAAGGTCAAAAATTTATAGCAAAAGTAAGAATTACAAATATATATATATATATATATATATTAAAAGAAACAATCCTAAAACTAAAAAAATAAAAATAAAAAATTGTGCATTTTTCAAAGTTGAATGATATATTAATGACATAAAGTATATTTGGATTACCTCTTTAATTACCTCTTTAGTTACTAAAAATCATATGCACTTCTCACCAAAAAAAACAAAAAAACAAAAAAAAAAAACAAAAAAACAAACAAACAAACAAACAAACAAACAAACACATGAGAGAATTTCAAAATCCCACAAGAAAACTCAGAAATCAAGAGAATCAGGGGAGAGAACTCTCCCCGAATTACAACTGCACCGACAAGAGTGTGTGCGGCAAGTGTGTGCGTTGCAAGTGATGCAAAGATTTCCTATGTGATTTAAAGTGCCGCGTGCCGGAATGAGACTCTAGGGGAGGGTTTGGCTAGCTAGGATTGTTTGGGTGAAACGTGAAGATGCATCTTTAAAGATCGGTCGGAGAGGAAATCGCTGCTAAGCTGCTAGAAGAGATCAAGTCGCTGCCTGATGTGGCTCTGGCGGTAGCGTCATGTTGGAGTTCCTGTGTTCTTGCAGCAATCGCGGTGTTGTTGAGCAAAACTGGCTTTGTGAGTTGAGGTTTTTGGATGTTAGGAAGAGCAGTGGTTTAGTGAAGTTTTGCTGCGAGGTTTGAGTGCGAGGTTGGATTGGCAATGCTTTCAGTTCTGGATGCAGTTGTGGCTGCGGGTGTTGTGTGGGTGCGTCAGTGGGATCTAGTGTTTGGCTATGCATGGTGAGCAGGTGGAAGAGCTCGTGGACTTTGGGGTGCGATTATATGTAGATTGAAGGTAGAGTTGGTAGTGGTGGAAAGTTCATGATGTAATTGAGGAGAGGAGCATCCTAATGACCTGTAGCTGCGGGTTAGCATCAATAGATAGGTGTATGGTGCGATAGAGCATTTGTTGCGGGATTATAAGATAGATGTTTCTAATGACGGTGTTTTAAGAGATCCTTGTGTGTCCTTGTGGCTTGGGTTTTCTAACTTGAGTGTGAGAATTATAAATTTTGGTGTAGAGGTTAGTACTGAAGGAGGTTGCTTCCTAAGATATGTGTTGTTCTGTTGGAAGTATGCTGCAGGGGTGAAGGTGTATGGTCAGGCTTTGTGGGAATGGATTGTAATTAGTGCGTTGTTGCGATTGGCATTGCATAATCTTGCCGATGCTGGGAAGTTCTGCATTGTACTGTTTTAGATGTTGCATACGCACAATCTTAATGCACAGAAAGGTTGATCTTACAGGGCGTGTTACTGAAATTGGCCATGTTTCGGCGGGCTTTCACACATCCAATTCGATTTTTATGTTGAAGATAGCTAGGACTTTGATAATGGGGGTTTCGAAGTGCATTATTCTCTATCATGCTGGGGCAACATGATGGGAATTCACGAAAAAGGTTTTTTCTTGTGACTATTGGCACAACTAGAACACCTCCAACTTCAAAAGAGCATGAAGTGCAGATGGGTAACTCACAAGATTGAGCAGGTAGAAGGCTAAGTCTGAGCACGGCCTAAGGAATTTTTTTGAGATCTAGTTAGGAGCGGTGAAATTTAACAAATTAGCTTAAATTTTTCCAAGAATGTGCAATATGTGATATTTTCTACACACAATACAAAGAATTATTATGGAATTCAATAGCGCATTTTTCACGTAAGAATGACCCAAAAGAATCATCAAGAGATTTTAAGCTCAATAATTCTTTAAGATTTTTTATACTATGATATATCAGAACATCATGAAAAATTACAAGGTATTATAAAGTATTAAAATGAACAGAATATATTTTATGAGATTTAAATATGATATTATTTCAAACTCTAGTAGCAACAGAGTATCACAATGAATATAAAGGAATAGGCATTCTTTTTCAATTTTGTAAAAACTCATAACCTTCTAAATAGTTTACCACACATCCACATAGCCTTCAAGCACATAACTAATAGTAATAAACAATTCATTCTACAAAGGACGTTCTCATCTACGCCAGTACACTCACGAAAAACACGTTCACACCAACCACACCAGTCCCCACAAGTCCCCAGCCCAAACATTCCACCTCAGCAGCCACATCATCAGACATATCAGCACAAGAGCCGCGACTACGCCAGCACGCCAGGTCGGAACGCGGCTCCTACGCCGGCGAGGCCTCCTTTCTAGACGATGGTGTTGTTCTAGACCTCCTGCCAAAAGCTTGTGGCTCTGGAATCGATGCAACGTCCTGCTATTACTCTTGATGCTTCGACGTGCTTGTAGGTTGGTGGCGCAAAGCCCAGAGGTGGGGTGTTTCGCCGCTGATTATAGAGACTCCATAACTTGGAGAGAAGCGTTTGCATCTGTACTGCACTGCACCAGTTTGAGTGTAGTTGGGTTCATTGGAATCTCACGACAACCATGGGGCGGGAGCCACACCCATGTTGCGATGCGTCTTCGACGAGCATATATGGGGAGTTGGAGGCCCAGGAGTTTTATGACAAGCATGGGGTTGCGTACGTCGAGGATACGCTGGTGAACTCGCGGGGTTTGAGGCAATGTTGGCGTTCGTGGGTGCCGGTGGGGGAGGAGTTGCGGGGCGTGGTTTGCGTATGTCATGGCTATGGTGCGGATTCTGGATGGTTGGTGCAGCTGACGTGCATTGCTATCGCAAAGGAGGGTTACGCGGTTTACGCCATTGACCACCAAGGTCATGGTAAATCTGAGGGTCTCAAGGGACATATTCCTGATATTAATGTGGTTGTCGACGACTGCATTGCCTTCTTCGATCCCAGGGTTAGGCATCATATTCACAATTTTCAGTGTTTCTCTCGATTTTCACAAGCATGGTTAGCATTTAATTAATTAGCTATGTCGCTATTGTTAAAGGCTCAATTTTGATATTTTGAATGAGTACACGACCGATTTGGTACGGTTAACTTCTGGCCGCACTGCAAGGAGCAAAAGTCCGTAATTATCTTTTGTGACATTCTTTAAGAATCATGAAATAGTACTCATTTGTTTGATGTTTGGTCATGTCCAGCGGGACTCCCACAAAGGCCTACCCTTTTTCTTATATGGTGAGTCATTGGGTGGAGCCATTGCTTTGCTTATTCACCTCAGGCAGCCGGAGCTTTGGCAAGGAGTCGTCCTTAATGGCGCTATGTGTGGGATCGGCAAATTCAAGCCCCCTTGGCCAGCTGAATATTTGCTTGGCCTTATTTCGGGTATGTAATCGGTTCTGTATACTTTTCTGTCGTTTGCAGATGATAACAGCGTCTAAATAGGTCATCATTTTCGTATTGGTGATGAAGTGATCCGAGTAATCTCAGGGTTTTATGTGCTCGATTTCTTGTGATAATAGGTTTTATTCCCACTTGGCCGATTGTTCCTACGAAAGATATTCCTACCGTATCTTTCAAGGAGCCATGGAAGCGCAACCTTGCTCGGATCAATCCAAACAGGTATCGATGTTCTTGATTAGTCTATCTAGTTCAATTTTTTTGGAAGTTTTACTGTTTACTGCCTTCATCCTTTGTGTTTTTGAATCTGGACAGTCAGATTTCAGAGGTCCAATCTTGCGATGTTAATCGAAAGATCTGCCTAATGGGGGTAGTTTACCACCAAGCAGATTGAATTTGGTGCTCTGAGGTTCTTTTGAGATTTAGTTGCAGCAAATTTTGCAAACATTTAGAGCCTTCAACATGATGTGTCAGCGGGTAGTTTCCCTCACCTCAGGCTGTCAAAAGTTCAGGAATAATACATATCAGCAGATTACAGCTGTGCGATGTATAAATCTTTCGTATAGATCTTTCATAGGAAGCCTCCTCTGAAATCAATATAGTTCTACTGGAAGTGCTCTGATCTAGCAAAAAGTTTCAACAGTTAAACGTCCTTGATTTGTCACCTCATCGCAGATACACTGGCAGGCCTCGAGCTGCTACCGCCCGGGAATTTTTGCGAGTTGTCAAAGAGATAGAGGATCGGGCATCAGAAGTTACAGCTCCGTTGCTCATTTTACATGGAGATCAAGACATAGTGTGCGATCCCGATGGCAGCAAGACGCTGCACCAAAATGCAGCCAGCAAAGACAAAACTCTGCATCTCTATCCAGGAATGTGGCACCAGCTAGTGGGTGAGCCCACGGAAGGAGTAGAGCAAGTGTTCGGAGACATGTTTTCGTGGCTGGAAACACATCTGTCTCCACAAGCTTGCACTTGAACAACTTCATTGAAATCTCTTTTTCACATCATTTGATATTCCTCTCTGCCAATTGTAGCCTGGATTCGAAGTCTGAAACTTGCAAACCCAAGACTTTCTCTACCCCACATAGAAGGATCTCAAAAGAAAAAATCTAGTACCCTTGTTTTATGTACAATCTGTTCAGACAGTATATTTTTTGAAAAACTAAAATGTAATATAGTGTGACATTTACGTTCAAATACGCACGTGACATTGGACTTTGTGAGCTGTCTACTTCTTCTCTGCTTCTACTTGTGAAAATGTTTTCCAGAAACTGATTTGAGTGCCTCAAATACGACTTATCCTGTGAAGCAACACTATCGGATTTGCCTCAGTCTCGTTTTCAAATTGAAAGAGGATTTAGATCATTCTTGTCTCATTTGCATATACAGGGAATCCAAGGCCGAAGCTAAAGCATTTGCTGATGTTTCTATTCTCATTTTACTATTATATTGAGAAACTATCAAAGATAAATTGTGCATAAAGAGTTATTTGACATGTAATATATTGTTATTATACATAGGTATTTCAAAGTTTTTCTATCATCCTTGCACAAAGATGGGATCTAGCTCCAAATTAGCATCTTAATATTTTGTGGACATCTCTGTCAAATATTGAATTGCTTTTGTTAAGAAAAGTGGGAAATCAAGAGAGAGAAAAATAAATAAATAAAAATAAATAATAAAAAAGAAAAATCAAGAAAAATGGTACAATCAAGATAAATATTGGTATTGCAACTAGGATCCAAAATAGTTTCTATACAAGGCAATCTAAAAAAGATATCTTTGTATTTTGATAAAGGGACAAGTTTAGTTTCTTTACTATGTAATATATTTTTAAGTTTTTTATATGTCCCTTATTTGCATCAAAATCTTATTATATAAGCATTTGATGAGATATTCAATTCACTTGATATAAACTTGATAATCTTCTAATTTCTCTTTCTATATTGTATATTGTGTGATCTTCAATTTTGTATTAGGAATGGGAGCATTTTGTGATGTGTACTTTTAAATATATTTAAGAAAGATGTACTCCAATTACAATAATATGTTGATATATTAATTGTATATATGTTTCTTAAAGATATATTAGACATAAAATGTATTTTTTTTCTTATAAAAGTTGTATTGGTGAAATAAATTGAAGTATTTTTAAATTATTATATAATTAATAATATTCATTATTATCTATTTTATTATTATTATAAAGTAGCATTATGCTAATATATGTATTTATTTTTATAAATTAATTACTTAAATTTCTATGTCATCAACATATATATTTACTCCAATAATTAAATAGCTAATATGAATACGTAGAAGTAGATTAAAATAAATAAATTTGATAATAACTTACAGAGAAGCTTCATAGAAGCTTTATAAACAAAGCATTGACTTTATATGTATTTTTAATTGATTGATAGATTTAAAACTTGGCCAATAAGTTAGCCACATATCACATGTCTTGATACTTTTTGGTACAAGCTAACTATAAGGCACATATATAAAAAAAACTTGCTTTGGAAGTTAAAACACATGTCTTGCAAATTGGACACTTGTTGGAGGTCCTATAGAATGTTGCCATAAAGCTCCTAGTTAGATAGTATGTATGGAGGTAAGAGTGAAGCCTTCTTTTTTCTTATCAATGCCTTTCTAGTCCTTAATCTTGTTTCAAGTCTTTTTAGTCTTCTTGTCTTTGGCAAAGGCCATTCCACTTTCAATATTATATTAATTTTGAGTGAATGTCTATATTTTTTAAGTCATACAAGAGTGTATCAAGTCTTTATTTGTTTGAGATTCATATCCTTGATATAATAATAATAATATGCATATATTTAAACTATGTAGCAATTTTACTAAAGTTTATCAATATAAGTTATTTTTTAGAGTATTGTTTCTACTAGATCACTTTGCATTTGCATCAAACATAGAATAATTGTACTAAAACTTAATGTCTTAGATGGTTCTTTGTACTAATATTTTTTACTCAAGCTACAAAAATAAAATAATTAGAAATTTAAATTTTTTAATGTAATACAAGCTTAAGTACTGAGAAATTAAAAAGTTTGAGATCCAAATAATAGATAATAACATAGAGGCAGAAAAAAGCTTAGAAGTTGCACATTTTTTTTTTAAGTCATTTGAATAATTCTAAGAAAATTGTTTAAAAAATAGTTGTTTGTTTTTAATATAATCCTTTCAAGGACCTTCAATATCCAAATTATAGAATAGCTGATACCCTTCTATTATTTATATTATACAAAGATGGTAAATTTAAAATTATAAAAGAAAATTAGATCTAGTGGAATTATTGCTTTTTAATAGATAGATTGACATTACATGATACTAGATACATAAGTTTTTTAAATAATAGTCTAAAAGATAAATCATTTTTTTTTTCTTTTTAGCAAAATTATGTTTTTTAAGTAAATATTTAATAGCCTATTTTTAATCCTATATTTTACAAATATTTAGTTGTTATAGCAAAAACTAGAGCAAAGATTAGAAGAGATTAAGATGAATCATAAATTATAGTTGTTATCATAGTTTATATTTGTTAGAGTAAATAAAAGATGTTTTTGAAATAATAAGTTATAGAAGATAGTATTTATATATCTTGGGCAATAGATTACACTTCTAAAGAAAATCTGAATCTAAAATGTGCATAAATTAATTCAATGTTAGTGCTAATATAATGAATTATTATTTTTAATTATATATTTAAATTTAATTTATAAAATAAATAATTTATTAGCATAAAATAATTATAATTTATATTATAGCAATGAAGATATATTTGTACATATAAACCAAAAGACTAAAAAAAATATCTAAGTTCAAAATATAAAAAGAAAGATATCTTACTTAATTTTATATTTATCAATTGACATTGTATCTACAAATTAGTGAGATATTATTGTAACCACACTAAAGAAAATTATAAAAAAAATTCATATATTTATACATATTTATTCAATTTGGAAAAAATATATAATAATTTCTTAAATTGATACATAACTTAAAAATTGAATTATTAAAAGCTTATAAAATAGACTTAATTGTAAAAAAGAAATTCAAAGGCATGAGTATTTATACTTAGATAAAGGTTTTAAAACAATACAATGTATTATAAATGAAGTGATATTATAAAATATATTTTAAAAAAATTTGCAATAAATTTAAAATTAAATCATTTTTTACATGCTTAATATATAATTTTTAATTATTTGTAATTTAATATATGTAAGTAATTTTTTTATTTTCTAAATATAATAAGATTTATTTTGAGATTACTATATTAAAATTTAAATTTGGTATTTTATTAAATAATAAAAATTAACAAATAATAATTATATTATATATACTAGTTTAATATGTTATATAGTATATTTTAAATTTTATTATTGATAATTTTAAGAATGATTTTAAATTTGGATGGTAATTTTTAGATAATTCTTAATTTGAGTGCAATGTTTTATTTATTATATATATTTTTATATTTTTAATTTATGTTTGGTTGGATTTCAATGTCTACTTCATGTCAATTAGAATATTAACAATAATTGAAGTCTCATCATGGCACATTGAAAGATAATTAAATAATCTTATATAAAAATAAAAGATAAAAATAAATTGATTAATGTGGCATCATATAACTTTTATTGTCATTAATTACATGTTCAATGATGGAAAAACGAAATGGTTTTATACCCTATACAACCACAGAAAAAAAAATCAAGTATTTAAAAATCTTTGAATATTTTTAAAAATAACATCTTAGAGCCAACTTCTACATGTGGTTTTTTGCAAGATGATTTTATAAAGACCTTAAGTCTTTAAGGTTATAAAGATCTTAAATTTGTCTATAATTTCAAATTCTTTACAGATTATGTATGTTGTTTTTGTAAACTTGCAATTACAATCAATTTGACAAGCTCCAAATTAAACCTTTCTTTATTTTTTTATTTAGTTTTCATACAACTACCATATTAGAATTATATGGAACATATTATGGTAGCAAACAAGGAGGTTTTGAAGCTATGATGTTTCATTCTATTTCTAATTATATAAATAAGTTTTTTATAGATGATTTTATTTTTTTAAAAAAATTAAAAATTAAAAAATTAAAAAAAATAAATGTTATAGGTGAAGAAGTAAAAAGGAAGTTGGCATAAGAATGCATATTAATTCAAATATATAGTTGAAAAAGAATCTTATAAGAAAAAGATAAAGGAAGCATTAATAAAATATTATACAATTAATATATAGACGGATCTTTTTTTACTACTACATTTTAGAGAAATTTTAGAATGAATTAGTAGTAAAGCAACTACTTTATACACAAGAACTATTATCTAGACTATCTATCTTGATGTGGTCTTTGAATCCATAATGAATATTTAAAGCACTTCTACAAAAATAAAAATAATTTTTTGTTGAAAAATTATATAAGAAAAAAAATATAATAATTTTTTAAATAATAAAGAATAAAAATATTATTTATAAATAATATTATATATAGTTTAATTTATTATCAAATATATTATTCTATGAATATTTTTAATTTATATTAAAATATATCGTTATTATAATTAAAAAGTTCTTATATTTTTATATAATTTTAAAAAAAATTAATTTAAATTATATTAAATATAATATCTAATATATAGTTTTTTTAAATAATTATTTCTATCATTTTAAAATCATATTATATAATAATCTAATTAAATAACATGTTATTATAAAATTATTAAAAATAAAAGAAAAATGTTTTTGGCTTGCATTACATATTGATAATATATACATCATGTTGTTGTATTTTGTGAAGTTTGCTTAAGAATGCATTAAGCATCTAATTGTAGAAGATAAAATAGAACTTGCAATAGGATCGCTCTAATAATTATGGTAGAAACTTATATAAAATTTAATTAAATTATAATAATGTTAATCAATCTTTAACTAAATTCAAAAAGAAGTCTTAAGAACTTACAAAAAAAACATAAAGAAATCATAAATTAATCTTAAAAAAATATGTATAAAAAAATCTTAAAGATACATCAAAAATAAAAACCTTAATTTTATTTTAATCAAATTTCAATGTAACTTTAAAAAAACTCTAATAAAATCTTGAACCAAACCTAACTAAATTCTAAACCAAATCTTAATTAAATCATAACCAAATCCTAAACCAAATCTTAATTAAATTCTAGATCAAATCTTA